TTTTTAAAAAAAGATATTTTGGAAACGAAAACTAATAATATATAATTGTTTAAGTTTTCAATTTAATTTGTTAAAAAAATTAAAAGGAGGAGAGGAGGTGATTAGAACAGAACCGAACCCACAGAAATATGAGAAACATTCTTTATTGGTTAAAAATTGGTACAGTTTTTATTTATTATTTGTCAAAACGTTAAAAGAAAGAGTGAAAGTGAAAGAAATCAAACCCCATTCATCTTGCATGGAGAGTCAACACTCAACCATTTGAGCTACATTGCTTATCATGTAACATTTATGCTGAGAAAAAGAGTGACGGTGGAAGGAATCGAACACTATTCATCTCGCATGGAAAGTAAGCATTCAACCATTTGAGCTACATTGCTTATCCCATAACATATATTCACTAACGTTTATATATATTTAATATAAAATCTTCCTTTAATTTTGTTTTTCAACGGATCCAGCACGGACAGCCGCCCGGGCTCCCTGGGTGCTGGATCCGCTCCTGCTAATAAATCATTATATTACACTCAATTTAATTAGGAATGAGTAGAGAAAAGTAATGTATCCAATTTACAGAGCAACCCACCAAACTTGAGTGCTTATATACGCTTGGTTCCTTCAAATTGAATATATTCCCTTATCACAATGAGAAGAGCTACAATTTGCATTATTCATGCAATTGCTTTTGCCTATTTAGAGACTTCTTCAATGAAATTTGGCACAAGACTGCTGTGATTAATAGGAAGAGAGGTCAGCAAAGGACTTGCCTAAATCTCAGCGTTTTTAAATCTTGCGTAGCCAAGTTTAATTCTACATACCAAACTTAATTGTCATACATGCAATACCAGAGAGCTTTTACACGAAAGCCAATGCATCTTCTTGGCGTCATCCTTTGGCTAACCATTAGGATGGTGCTCTAACTCTATACAATCTTGAAATTCAAGGCACGTCAAACTTTCGTTTAGATCAAAACCGTCACTCGATTCTAAGTCAAATCAAAGAAGAGTGGAGAATCTCCTTTTTGAAACTCAATATGAGAAAATATTTTGCACCCCACTAGTGTGGATTTATTTCAATTATCGAGGAAGATATCGACCTTCCTAATAAGGATAGCAATCCTCATTTACGGCCAAGTTTCTCCTATTTACTTTTTAAATTTAAAATTTTAAAATAAATAAAAAATCAGAGTCCACATAAGTTCGGGATGGGATCCTTCTCAGTTTTTGATTTTTCAATAACTCTATCAAATGCACCCAAAGTCTTTGTAGCAAAGTCCAATGAGTTTGGGCCATCATGTAAATGCCCAATTTCAGGCCTACCAATATTCCACCCCACTATATAAACCCTATCTCTGTCCCACATGCTCCTACAGTAAGAATCCTCCATAAATCTCTACGGAATCTGCGTAACAAAACGCATCAATTTCAATTCAGTCAATGGAAAACGCATTTCGATTCGCAATTCTCGCTGTTCTAGCTCTGATTTTCATTTCTTCGCCATTTGCAAATGCATCAGAGTCTCCATTTATTGTGGCGCACAAAAGAGTCACTCTCAAAAAGCTCAATTCCGACATCGAACGGATCTCCGTCTCCATTGACGTTTACAACCGTGGATCCGCGTTCGTTAAATTTCTCATTGCCCCTATCTTTTTAATTTATTAAGATCTAGTTTGTATTCATTGATTTTTATTTTTATTTTTATTTTTTTCATTTAGTGATCGAAGCAAAATAGTTGCTGGGAAGTTTTTATTTGTTTTAGGGTCATATTTGGGAATGAAATACGCTAATCGTTTTATTTATTTATTTATTTATTTTTGTGTGTGCGTATGTGAAAGATTACATGCAAACGTTTTATCCTTGCTTTGATTTCTGTACATTACAAGTTTTTTCAGTTTTCGTTTCCGATTTATGAGTTAATGTAACTATGTTTTAACAAATCAAATGCAAGGATCAGAAGATTTAAGAATGGAGGTGTCCATAAATGTTATGGGCCTGCATGGTTTCATTCTGTAACTTTTTTTAAGGCTATAAAGCCAAATAGTGGTAATGCAGCCAAAAAGATGATAAACAGCTAGGTTTGTTTGCAATGATCTGCATACATTTTTTGTAATTTGAGAATAAAATATATGCTAGCCGGATTTCTTTATAGAAAGACCATAATTGGGCTGTCATTGGTAGTAGAAAAGAAATGGTAATTTTTTGGCAATACTAGTAACTGCAACCTAGCGGAAAGCAAGCAGAATGATGAAATTGGATTCAAGTAGCTTAGTGTCTAATTTTGTTGATATCTAATTAAATCTCTAAATTTTACACTTTCTATTGGTCCATTGCTGAATGTACTAAGGGGGTGTTTGGTAGTGATTTGAGAATTGATTCTCAAATCAATTCTCATTTTCAACCACACATTCTTCAATAAAATAATATTTTCCATCACATCAATAATTTTTTCTTCTTTTTCAACCACACATTTCCCATCATATCACTATTCAAAAATCACTTCTTC